AAAAAAAAAAAAAAAAAGAACGAAACAAGAAAAAAAAAAAATAAGCATACCAAACCAAGAAGTAAAAAAATTAAGTAAAGATTAAAGAAACAAGTAAAACTTCAAAACATAAAATTGAATATGAAAAAAAAAGTATCAGACACAAAATTGAATACAAAAAAAAATACCAAACATAGATACAAAACCTTAACAAGATAAAAAAGAACAAATAATATAAAAATATTTATATAATAAAATAAAAATGTGTTTAAATTTTTATCCAATACATATTTTTCCCTTCAAAACCATCTTATCACACCCATCACCTCCCTCTTAACGTTACGCTGCCCCTCACCTGCACACCCCAATACACGGGCGCCTGGAACAGCATGCCTGTCAACCCCAGTCAGACATCTTTTAATTTTTTTTTCCATCTTTTCCTCTACTCCTCTCTCTCTCTCTCTCTCTCTCTCACACACACACACACACCAGTTTGGCAACATCTCCAGCGCCTAATCGGATCGGATAGCGAAACCCTTGGTTCCTCTCTCCCTGTTCAATGTATTGCTCTAATTTCTCAATGGTTTCATCCTTTTTCTGAGGCTAAACTGTCGATTTTTTTGTTGCAATCCATTTATTCGAGCATTGAGTGAGTTTCAGGTATTTTTTTACTTCAAAGAAAAATATTTATATTTTGTTGTTTTTTTTAGTTTTTCCCTTTTTATTCTGGACTTTTGTTGATTATTGATACTTAGGTGGTTTCGGTTTGATAGAATTATCGTTTGAATTTACATATTAAATTTGTTTCATGCCTCTGAATTTTCTATTCTGTTTCTTCTTCTTTGATTATTTTGGTTCTTAACTATCTTGAATAGTGTAGAGTTCATTTGTGTAATAGCGTCACCTGTACTGGTAATTAAATAGTTTTTTTGTTTCTATCTAAATATCGTCCCCTACTGGTTGTACACAATTTTTGCGAACCCCCACCTCACCCCAGCTTTACCCTTCTCCGAACCCCCTCCTCACACAGTGGAGAATCCAAAGCCCATTTCTCCCCACTCCCGCTATACTGCCACCGAAACCCACCAAAGCCCACCAAACACCAAGTGTTTGTATCTTCTTTGAGTTTTTGTGAATTTATTTTGTCTATTTCTCCCTCTTTGTATTTTTTGGGTGAACATCAAGAAGGGCAATGACCGTTGACCCCCAAAAAATTGGTTTGATTTTTGGGTTTGTTATTTTCATGGGGTTTGCATTTGTTTGTGTGCTTTACATTTTTTTGTCTTGAACGTCTTTGCTTTACATTTTTTTTTTTGTCTAAATCCTGAATTGTTGCTGTTATTTTAGTCCATTAGAGTAAATAGTTTTCCTTATCTCCACTTCTCCATTTGAATCTCTTTTTCTCTATCACCCCTAGTCCCCAGCAACCCCCTTCTATCCAAACCTCACACAAACACAGCACACACGCACAAAGCACCAATACCCACACCCTTAACACACTCACGGGTTCTTTCTCTCTCTCTCTCAGCACCAGTAAAGCAACATCTTTTTTTTTCCCCTAAGATGCCCAAAAGCCAGACCCCAATCTAATGCCCATAACGTATTTGTTGAAATGCCTAAGGGACGAGCACAAGCAAATCACACCCACACCCACTGCTGTCTGCAAGCACATCTCTCTTCCACCCTCTCCCGCCCTCCTTCTACCTTTCTAATACACAAACAACACACACAAAGCCTCTCGGCCAAATGGGGTTGAATAAGGTGGAGTATGGGGCTATGTTGGATAGGGTTTTAACTGGTTTTAATTAGAGTTTTACTGCATTTGGATTGTGATTTTATGGGCAAAAATTACAAAAAGGAAATATATTTGTTGTTTTCAGTTACTTTCTTTTAGTCGTTGGTGGCTTCCAATTTGCTTTGGATTCTTTCAGGAAAACATTTTTTCTGGTGGATTCATAATATACTTAATTTGTCTGTGTGTGCATTTCATTTCTTTGCTCTGATCAGTGCCCTGCACTGATTCATAATTGATGTCAAAGGAGTCATGGCAACTTTAAATTTTGGGTGTATTTTTTCTACCATTTTAATTTTTTTTATGCAATTTTAAATGTGTTATGAATTTCGTGACAGGCTATTAATGGACAGTAAATTTTGTGAATTGAAATGTTAGTTGAAATTGAGCTATTAATGTGTTGCTATTGTGTAATTGTTTTTGACCATTCTAATGTTTTGCTTTGGTTTTAATCTATTGTGTTGAATTTTATTGTGCTCTTTTGGGCATTTGTTGCAGTGGTGCTAGTTGGTAATGGTTTTGGAAAGATCACGTAAGAGATTTTTAGTTCATTTTTTTCCTTTTTCAGTTTGGTGCTTGATTATTTATTCAGTTTAGGATGTGTTCGAGTTCAATGCTTGATTATTTAGCGTTCAAATTTAATGTTTGATTTTTTTTAGTTTCACTGTGCCTTGAGGCACAGGTTATCCCTAGTATATATATATATATACACACACATAAATTTTAAATAAAAAATCATTAAACTTGACATAGATATCAAAATATACTGAAAATAATAAAAATCTGTATAACAAATATGAAATCAAACATAGAATTAAATTGACAAGTAATATTAACATGTATTTCACTGGAAAAAATTTATGTTAAAAAAGTGTTTTTGTGATTACATAAGATAAAATAGAGAATGAAATTTTAATTATGACAAAATATAAAGTGAATTTATTTTTTTTGTAGAATTTATGTAACATAGGATGAATTTAATTATTAATGAGGTGAATACAGAAAAAGTGAATTTAATAATTTTATAATAAAAAATTAAACGAGATAAAAATAGACTCATAGGGTGAGAATAGCTCCACCCTTTTAACGAACGTTCAAAAATTATGCTCACTTTTGCTTCTGCTTTATGGATAGAAAACATTCTTAGTGTGGTTCAAGATCCTGGATCTGATGACATAGGATAAATTGAGACAGTATTTTGTAAATACATAATTATCTTGAACATATTAACTAATTTTTTTTAATTTTTAGATCGCTTGGAAGCTATGAAGTACGGATACGGATACGGATATTAATACGTTATACGGATATGATACGGGTACGGAGATATGGCAAAACTTAAAAAAATAAGATACGAGTACGGTTAGGATATGTCTATAAAATATATATTTTTTAAAATTTTATTATTATATTTAATGTAATAATTATGATTTATAAAGTAAATTACACTTCTATCAAAGATATATAATAATAACTAATTATCAGAGTCAGTCGATTGTCAGTGTGAGTAAGTGAGAAAGAGAGAGACGATCGTCGTCGAGTATCGACTGAAGTGGAGGGCTTGACGGACTGTGGAAGAAAAGTATACAGATTTTAGTCTTTTAAATATTATTATTTTTTTGCAAATAAGGACCTAAATATATTACTCTTATGCCCCTATATTTTTTTAAAATTCAAGTAATACCCCGCTGTATCCTTATGCGTATCCCACGTGTATCCAAAATATATCTGGCCGTATCCGGAAACTAATTTTTTTTTTAAATTTTAGGATATTTCTCAGACGTATTCGGTACGTATCTGATGCATATCCATATTCAAAAATATTCGATACGAATACTTTAATCCTTTTGAAATATCTGTGCTTCCTAGCTCGGAAGTCACGGGGACAAAAGAAAAATCTTCTTGTTTCTGACTCAACCTCTACTCTTGTGTACAGTTGATCTCAAACCCGGATAAAAGAAGTTTGCGTTGGACAATTGACACCCAACGTACAATTAATCAAATCAAACATGTTTGTTCAATGATTTACGAAAAAACTATAACCTGTACACTTACTACACTTACTCTATTTTTGAAGGGATTTGAATCCCAGCGCGTAGTCCCACCACTTTTTACCACTATGCAAGAGCATCAGCTTGATATGGGACTTGAAACTAGGCAATGGTCTAACACCACTGCCATGTTCTGTGATATCAATATTTTCACAGCCATTGTGCCACAATGGGCAGTGGAATACAGTATGGTAGATGTGCTTACAATTTTTTTCAACCATATAGCCAATACGCTACATGGGGTGGTCGAATCTCATCCTAAGTGTATTTCTCCTCAATTCTCTCCCTCTTTGATGTAATGATCCTGCAATGAATGCTTAGGAACAAATCCTGTATACAGGCTAGACAACATTTTAATGCTTTGGTGGAGTCGGCCCAACAAATTGGTACTTGAAGTCTCTAAATCAATTTCAAATGACATCCACTTGAAGTAAACAATATCAATCCAATAATATTACAAGAAGACAACCATAATATTGATCTAGGAATAGGGAAGAGATGATGCTAGGGTGAGAAATGACAGGTTGGTAGTTGTTTATTTCTACATCCAAGTTACAAGGCTCAAATTCAAGGGAAAATGTCAAAACAATACAAGTATAATGATCAGCCAACACTACAAACTTCTGAGAAATATAAGCAAGCAATTCAAGTTTGCATACCTATTATTATTATTGCAATTGGCATCCCAATCATTATGGATCTTCACATGACCTGCATATAAGGAAGGCATTCAAACCTGTAAAAGTACAAAACAAGCCCGTGGTAACCAGCACAGCGGATTATTATGACAAGCAACGAATGCAAGCTGGTTTGTGCAACTCCACAAACCATCAACTTTGCTTTCCAATATCAAAAATATCAACAAAAAGGGAATTCAAGTTGGGCTCTCTTCACAATCCTATCGCAGCTATCTAAACATAACCTCCAGAGTGCCTCCTAATCCATCGAGAAAGACATTTGATCCATCAACTCAAATGTAGTCTCGTGAAATGAGGTCTTAGCACACATACCTGTCCTTGGTACACTGGCTCATGCCCGGTAAATTGAGATCCATATACAGAAAATTTTGTGTTCCGCCACATTAACTTTGATGCCGGTTGCAAAATATTTTAGTATGGAATTGGCATCATTTAGGGAATTGCACAATAGGAAATGTGAATAGGTAGCAATGGCTGGTTTATCATACACTGTTCTAAACTCAATACATTCTTTTGGGTGACATGCAAAAATCCTCAAATGCCAACTCACTACGTGATCAACCCATTTCTCACTACGTATCAGCAATTCATTTGGACTTCTTAGCAGGATACCATCCTCTTGTGGGTTAAAAAAAATGAACAATCTAGAAAATGTCTCAATTTGTTATCTATACTAGGTTCCCCTTAGGGTTGGCAGAATGAAATACATGAGAAACATAAATAAAATTCTAAGTTGTGCAGCAGTGGGCAAAATTATGCACATAGAAATTCAGTCCATTTCTGCATATGATACATCATGTAAACAAATCAGCTCCATTCTCTTAAGCCCCAACCATATTCCTCCTTTTCTAGAATTTTTCCACAGCAATAAAATAAAACAGAACATAAATACCATATCCACTTGGCATGTGCGAGATTTATGAAATGGAATTCAAATTCAAAGATTGACACCAATTGGAGGAAGCATTCCCACATTATTGAACCTGAGGGAATAAACCAAAAAAGCAAATTGTATCCGAGTCCCATTGACTAATGAAAGGCTAACTGATTCTGATGTTACGGGAACTAAACAACTGAAACAGAAGTAGTGAAGTAAATCTGGAGATTGCCTAATTTAAGTTAAAGGAGGTATTTTTAAATCTCCTCCTTTATATCTTTGCATATCTTTGCATACCCATAGACATATTAAGAGGATTCCTTTTGGTAGACCATTGTAATTTAGCCTGGTTTCTGCAAGGTTGACATAGCCCCCAAGTGTTAGGCCTTTCCCATCTGTTACTTATCCATCCATTACTTGTTCATCAACCGATACCACTACTATATTGAAGATTTGAGAAACCCTCGTCAGAAAACTAAAGTTGAGAATACCCAATTTATATTTGCCCAAGGTCAGCTTTGTCCACATAAGGTTCAGTTCTGTTACTTTCCCTCACCTTTCCCCTGGATATACCCAATCTATTTCACTTTCATTTACCAACTTCATTCATATAACACAATAAGGTTCAATCAGCTATATTGTAAATCTGGTTGTCCTATCTACCCACTTCCTTTCTCAACCATATTTTCATAAAGTAGGACCCACTTCTACTGCTATTCCCGGTGCATCTATAGAATTCGAGTATACACAGTGCAATCTTTCACTAAAGACGAGGAAGAACTTTCACCAACCCTTGCATCTGCCTCTACCAATAAGATATTGATGTTTGCAGTGTAAGAACTAATCTGACTTCCAAAAATGCTTAAAAGATTCCACAAACATACAATTATGTGAAAACTATCTCAACAAAAAAAGAGAGAAAACAAAGCATCATTATATGATAGGTTCGCAGTTGTACAATATAGACTACAAGGCTTAAACAAGGCCATCACCATGTTTAGGTCCCATCAATGCAGAGTGTTGGAAGGATAGATTAGATGTAAAACGAACCTTTAGCATTACTTAATCAAAATGGTGGCACCACCCTGCTTTTACCACAACGACCCCTAGATTGCAATACTTAGACATATAATATTAGGTGTCTACCACAAACACCACTGTTTAACATGCGATAATTCCAATCCGCACTTTCATGCAGCACTTGCTTTCTAATTTCCTTCTTCAATGACTACAAAGGGGCACATTGAATTCATTATTGTAATGCTGGTATAATTTGCAGGTTTTGGAATGTGCAGCCTATATCATATTCTTGGTGGTAGTAAAGGAAAAAAAATTCATGATAATTTACGCCCATTCTTCTTTTGAAGAACTTGGCTTCAAAAACTAACCATTCTTTATCTGTTATCATAGATTTCCCATTTATTCTACCGATATTTTTCTTTATCTTATCTCTTTATGTGAATTTATCAATTAACTTTATATGGTTATTGAACTGTGAATTTCTTTTATCTATGTCAAGCTTATTTTCAGAAACTTGGCTTGAATATTACTATTCATCTCTACAATTCAAAATTTTAACTTTTAAAATATTGGCACTTATGCTACGATCTACATTTTCTAATATATTTCAGTTAAATTGTTAAATTCTTTTACTTGCCATTTGTTTTGTTCATTGCGACAGAGGTACTGCGACTAATCCCTTCGTGATACGTTTCTAAAATTCAAAAAACGGAAACAATAGTTCAAAATCATCCTCATCCACTGTGTTTGCTAATCTTGAAAAAAGTCATATCAAAAAACTTATAGACATAGGCAACTAAGAAAGGATGGAACCCCTTCAGCACATCACAGGAGGTAAGTACAGGCTAACATCATGTCAAACAGCAGATAAGGTCCCAAGTTCACAATTCTAAAAGTGTGTATAATGTCCGAGACTTTTTTACACTAAGCTAGAAGAAAGAGTACAAAGCAGTCAAGAATATGATAGCATACTGAGGTCAACAGATATAATGAAATAAGAAATTCAAAATTTTATTTCAAATCAAATTATATACACAGGCTTGTTATCAGCTATTAGCTAAGCATCTATAACTGTACAATGCAGATATAGAGAAGCTCTTCGGAACAACCTTTTGCACAATTAGATCAAACACCTATACGAAAAAGAGAAGAGACAAACAGAGGCACAAACACCAAAGGCTGATGCAACAAGAAGACCAATATATCCATAAATGTGTATATATAGAACTAAAAGAGGAATGAAGAATGAACTTGCTTAAAACAAGTGAAAGGGACAAGGAGTTGTTAAATTGAGATAATAAGGAGAGAACAAGGGGCTCTTATTCCTTGTTACCGAATCTCTTAGCAATGATGGGACGGACATCATCAGCGTCAACCAGGGTCTCTAGGAAGGGAAGTAATGAAATTAGTGCACAATCTGATGGGTCATCAAACCAACTCTTAATAGGAATCCCATTATTCAATTGCCACCGGAAAACCTGAAATCATCAAAAGAGAAAAAGTCTATAGTATACAGGTACGTAGTTGAAAACTTTTGAGAACTCATTTTTTGTACAATTATGTAAGACTACAAAATGCTTCATGTTACTATTAACTTGAGGGACTAAATCTAAGTTTTGCCACTTCCAAAGAAAGCATGACCCTTGATCCAGAGAAAGTACTGCCCAGTAAATTCTTAACCAAACAATCAGATCCTCATAACTCCCCAGTCAAAATCTGAAACAACTTGATGGTTACGTACCAGTTGTTACTCCCTAACACCTTCATCATCCCTAAATTTATAGCTGGATGAAGGATTACTCCAAATCTCTCCAATACTTAATTTGTAGACCAACGTATTTTGAATTCAAATACCCATTTCCCTTCAGGGAAGGATAAAGCAGGATAATAAGTGTTCAAGCCATAACCAAAAATAAAAACCACCAAAAGTCTGGAATATATCTTCATGGAGGAAAAAGGAAGGATGAGGGAGGAGAAAATGAACCTAGCAAAGCACAATATTAACAAATCAAATGGCAAGTACTCTTACCTGAGGGGAATTATCAATTATCGCTACTTTTGCAAGATCAACACCTAAAACAGTCAAGTCCTTGGTGTAAATTCCATCTGAAAAAATGCATGATTCACGATAAGCTCGGTGTGAAATGAACTTCCCATCCGGATCAAGTATATCCAGAAGTTGTTTAGCATAGATGCTTTGACTGGCTGTGAAGACTAAAATTTCAAACATTTCTGCAACTCTCTCCAGGAATGTTTGGAGGTAAGGCCGCTGTTTCACATACACGGTGTGCTCTTTCATGTTGAAAAACACAGAAAATGTGAAGTCGGCACCATCACAATGCTCCAATGTGGAGTGGACAAGTGTCTCTGCAAACAAGAAAGCTGGTGTAAACAATAGAATGAACTGAACCACCACCTGAACGTAATTGGAACTATGGTAGACATGACACGGTGTATGCTGATATTACAATATGAAATGACTTAGATAACTAAGATGAGATATTACAAAATTATCAGTAAATGAATACAGAGAGTTCAATTTTCTTACCATCCAAATCAAGCACTAGGGTTATTGGTTTCATTTTCCGGGTTTCCTTTGGCAATAAGGTGGGCCGAAAACTGGGTGACACATCCAGTTGGTCTGGCAGATTCCTGATGAACACGTGTGGATCAAAGAACTCTGCTTGATCTGAGTCCGCGTAGCAATTAACATCAGAATACTGGTTGCAGGATCTCAATTGATGGATTACTAAATGTAAGCTTGAATCATCTGACTGTATGCTTTCTTCACATGATCTGTTATCATGGCCATTGCTCGCTTCCACGTCATCCTCGAGGAAATGTAGCATCATACATTCCTCAGACACATCAGACACATTAAAAAAAACACTTGGCTCATCACATGTGTAATCAAGTAAGCAGGTGGTGTTTTCTGGAATATCGTCATATGTTAAGTTGCCTTCTATGGGTAAGGCAGAACCAATCGTGTCAGAAATGTAAAAATCTGATACGTTGCAAGTATGGTGCTCGCCTGAACTTCCGCTGTTCTCACCCCTGTTATCTTCACCCAACCATGGAACATCAAGATGTTTGTGACTTCCTACAGAGAAATGAGAGGAAGGTAAGTGGTTGGAGTCAGTGTAACTAGCTTTTACCTTCTGTAATTCAAAACTGGACATGAAATCTAGTTCAGCTCTGAATTTTTCCAGATCAAGAATAAATCCCCAACAATAAAACCAAACAGGGAATCAGAATGACAAACTAGAGCAATTTAAACCAAACATTCCCAAGAAGTCACTTTCGATTACAATGTGGCATAAGAAATTCACACCCTTATATCTGCTTATTAACCAAAAAAGTTAAGCAAATCTTCGGATGCAAGATAGCCATTTTTGGAAGCTTCGGGTTTGTTTTATAACATGTTCATCAGTCAGCACAAATCCAAAAATTACTATCCAAAAAAATTACTTCCTTCTATCCCAAAAATAAACCAATAAATCTCAATAAAAATTACAATCATTTCTGTAACTGTCAAAAATAGTTTTCCACTTGTCAAAGATGAACGAACAATACAGCAGATTTACATATTCCCAACAGTAGGACAGGGTTCAGTTCAGAAAACCAAAACACTAAGTACGGATCTTTAATTTAAACAATAAAATCTTCCATTTAAAGAAATGTACTGAAACAACACTATTTGGGTTGTACCTCCATCATAGTATGCATTTAGTTCACTGTGAATGCCAATGGACTCCAGAATAGGTGAAAATATTGTTTCCAGGTTTGATGTGCAGGTTGCTGGAACAGATTCCTGCACTCAATAGAACTATCATTGGTCAATTTTGATAAAACACTTTAAACAGAACATTCAACATCTACACTGTCAGGATTCTTCAGAAAAATTGCAGAAAATGAGAATATTTCTCGAGTTAGTTTTTTACTGTTCTCCCAGCAGTTGAAGAGTCAATCAGAGGTGAATGCTGCTTCTGAGACTGACAGGTTTCTTTACCGAGCATATAGTTAGTTTCACCACTTCCCCTGTCCTGAGCACATTGTGTCTTGAACAAACCAACTACAAAACCATAAATTCAATCAAATGAACAATCTTTAGCACTAAGTGGGTTTCATAGCTAAACTGAGGATACAAGAGAGTAACTAGAGGCCCAGCACTGCCTATTGCTGTGGGACAATATCTTATGATGGTCAATTAAGTACATATTTCACACTTATGATATAATCACCTTAAATTTTTTTGTCATTTCAGAAAAATTGAATAATAAAGCATCTTTATTTCAAGAAATGAAGAATAATATGATTGGTACTTGTCTATAGGCAGTCTAGGACTAAATATACATCGACCTCTTTCAGGTTTTTAAAATTTTACAGTTTATTACCCCTCATATAGCTTTATTTTAGGTGGGCATCAAAAATAAAATCGTTAACTCCCTGATTCTACCACATCAAAAA